CCACCCCTCAGGGAAGCACCAAGATCTTCAGAACAGAACCCCATGGCCATCGCAGGGACAGCCTGGGGACTCCCGCGGCTGAGCTGTCCGATATGAGTCGCCAGACCCTTGACGTACGGATTGGCCGCGAAGCCGCCCTCTGTTACCTGCCTGACCCCTGCGTGCCCTTCAAGGACAGTCGCTACGAGCAAGTCCAGACCTTTACCGTGGACGAAGCGGCCAAGAGCAGTCTCTGCGTGCTAGACTGGGTGACGCAAGGCCGTACCGCGCGCGGCGAGCACTGGGATTTCCATCTGTGGAGGGGGAAAAACGAAGTCTGGTCTGTGGATGAGACAACAGGGGACAAAAAGCTCCTCCACCGCGACTCGCTCATTCTCGAGGATGAGAATGGAGAGGGCCTGATTCGGGAACGCACCACGCCCCATGGCATTGTGGGAACTCTGATTCTGTACGGACCGTTGTTTGACAGTTTGGCGTCGTTTCTCGTGCAGCGTTTCGCTTCGCAGCCTCGCATTGGGGCTCCGTCGTCAACGTCGTCGTCCTCGCCGAATCTTGACTCCAACGTTACGTGGATAGTCGCACGGGTGCGAGCAGGCTTCGTCCTCGTCAAGTTTGGAGCAAAGGATCATGAAGCAGCAAAGCAGTGGTTAGGCGGCTTGTTACGCGAAGAGGGGAGCGTGGAGAGGGAATTCGGGCATGAGGCGTTGCGCTGCTTATAATTAAGTCTTCTATAATGCTTGTTTTTCTATTCTGAGAAATGTAAACCCCTTTCCATACTAAGAATTGAATATCCGACTGTAAAGAAGCTCATGTCTCCCAACCCAAAGGTTCAGCGTGGGAACCACCTGGCCAGCACGTTCTACATCCGTCTGCCACTCGCGCTCGATCCGGTCTGCAAGCATCTCCTGCAAGCTTCTGCTCGTGAGGACACTCTGCGCCTGATACGGGCCCATCACAGACGCACGAACGGCAGCGCTGAGGACCGCCTTCGCATGATTGAACATGAAGAGATAGGCCGTCTGGTGAAGATCCAGTCCCATAGCCAGACAGGCCACACCCCACAAGGGCGCAAAGTGCCCTTTGGCCCTAATTCATTGACAGTGTCGGCGCAGGATTTTAACGCGTCTGAAAAGCCTGCAAGCGTCTTGACTGCTGCCGTCGTAGCAGTGTCTCCTGCTAACTGAACGCTCGAGGCGTACGTCGTGCGAAAAGCTCGTTCCCATACCCCAAGCAATGCCCTTCCCTGCGCAAGGCTCACCCGTTGCGCAACAACACAGGGTGTCGACGCATCCAGGTCGTTATCGAGCGTTTGCAATTTCTCGGGGTGTCGATAGGCAGCCAAGAGGTAGGGGAGAGATGTACTTGCAACCGACGCAATGGAGAGTTTCAGAAAGCGATGGAACGATGCGATTGGCGTTGTTGATGCCGGAAGGGGCTTGTGGTGAGCAAGATACGACTCGAGGCCGCTGGAATATGCAAATGAGCCTAGTGGAAGGGCTGAGTCCGATAGGAGGAGCAATGCGTGGGCGGGATCTAGATACATTGTGTCAGAACTAGATATTAACCTGTCCTTGCAATTTTCACATACCGTTGGACATCCTGACGGGCTTGCCATCCCGATGGGCAGAGGATGCGAATCGAGCTCTAGCATTGTTCAGACGAGCCTCAAGATGCGAAATCTCTTTCTCCAAGTCCTGCAGATTAGTCGTCCCATTCATAGGAGACATTTTGACAGCAGCATGTGTTTAGCTGTTCTTATAGCACAGCACTGATGGGGAAACAGAGTGGCAGGAGTCTTTTTGTCTACCTAGGTATCTTGCCCTAAGCGGTAGCGGGTCCAGAGGAAATCGGCATCTTTTAGATTTTTTTTTTGAATAGGATTTGTATTAGGTACACTGTAAGACCCTTGGATCGCTGGTTTAGGTTGTGACCGAGTGGGAAAGCTACCTAGGTGACCCTGGTTGGTTGTCTCCAGTCATTGATCGACACGGTATTTTGGAAATAATGTTACAGATCAGTCTATGACACCTAGAATTACTATCATACTATCGTTATTAGTATCATTGTCATACGATGTCATGCTATTATCAGCATCATTATTAGTATTACCATCTTATAATTAATTAATTACTCACAATAAACCACTCCGTACATAGAATACATTCTAATAATTATCGTGTGAAATTCAGCCGCCATTGCATAAATAATAGCATTGCGACTGGTCATCCCATTACATGCTCAATACTTGCACATGCGTGTCTGGATTCGGTGACTTGTTGTCATTCCCACTGCATACGAGTCCTTCTTAGGGTTAGTTCTGTACAAATTATGTACCTATGTAGACAATTGACTGCTGACAGGACCACTCCCCGCTATGACTGATCTCTTTCTGTATGGTCCCTCCTCTCCATCCGTCCTGTGCTATATAAATCCATGCATCGATCCCTATTGCTTTCCCTCCTCACCCCCACATACCGTCTGTATTTGTATTCTTTCCCCATTATTGTTACTGACTCATCAGTCAAACCATGCCTCATACTTACTCACTCCCACGAAAAACGGGCTCAGTCATTCCCACGACCCACCGTCCTTTGAATGAAACTTTTTTCCATTGAAACAAAGAAAGAGATGTGAGAAAAGTGGAAGTCGCATGTGCTTGCTATTGCTATGTATGAATAAATAAACGAGAGTCTTTTAGTAAGACTAAAAAAAAGAGGTCTGTATGAATGGATGGATCTTGGTTAAATTTAGACTTTGCATTACAGACATCTATCTGGTATTGAAACAGTACTACTAGTGGTAGTAATACTGCTGGAGGAAAATATACTGGCTAACTGATTGACAAACTGATTCGCTAATCAACTCAAGTAAACAAGTCAAATCATCAAGTTAATCACATTAACGCCGCCCAGTCTATCACAAGCAAGGAAAATCCAACATGACGACCAGACCAGTCTATCCATCTATTCATCATCTATAGATCTATCCATCAATTCATTCATCATGACGTGGTGACCTCATGACAAACAAACACGATGAAACAAACAGACAGCGAGGCAGACAGTCAGACAGTCAAAAAGTGCTGGACTACTCCTCCTCATCATCCGTGTCCGGCGGCCTAGGCGTCCCCTTCGGCGAGTTCAACCACTCGATATGCCTTAGGCGTCGCCGCACCTCGCGCTCCTTCAACTGCGCCCGCGTCAGTTTCTTCTTCTTCTTCGCCTTGAACTTGAGCTCTCCCGTGTCCTCGGCGCCCGAGTTGGCCGCCGACGGGGTTGCGCTCGACACGGCCGAGCTGGCCACCGTGCTGCCCGGCTGACTATCTTCAAACCGCTCCGTCTGCACGGCTGTATTCGTCCGGTGCGTGATGCGCCCGTCCGCAATGTGGATCTGCTCCGGGCACAGCGCGCCGACAAACTCCTCGTTGTGCGAGATCATCACCACTCCGCCCTTGTAGTCGCGGATCGCCACCGCCAGCCCGCCCAGCGAGTCGCGGTCCAGGAAGTTGGTCGGCTCGTCCAGCACCAGCAGATGCGGGTTGTTCCACATCGCGCCCGCCAGCACCACCTTCACCTTCTGCCCGCCTGACAGTCCCCCGATCTGCGTGTGGTTCGCGATATCCGGGTCCAGCCCGACGTCCTCAAAGTGCTTCGCGATCACCTTCGGCTCCAGCACCCGGTACCCCAGCCCTTCGCGCGAGGCCTCGTGGTCGTCAAACTCCTGCACCAGCTTCGCGAAGCCCAGCTCTATCAGCGTCTCGCGCGACACCATCGTGTTGTGCTTCGGCAGCCATCCGAGCCATTTCACCTCGTACTGGAACGACTTCTTCCACTTCTGCCGGCCCATGAGCGCCTCGATGCGCCGCGGGCCCTTGCCGTCGCCTAGATCGATCGGTTTCTCCATCTGCGCCCGTTCCTCGTCCGTCATGATGCGCGTCTGCTTCAGATACACCTCGCGGTCGTCGCCGTTGGCGTAGCGCCACTGCAGATACTGGTTGGGCGTCTTTTCGAGATGCATCTCGACGTGCTCCAGCGCGTGCTGTTTGATGTACCCGATCCGGAGGTTGGGGTGCTTCTCGACCTTGCCGCTCTGCGGGACGAGCTCGCCGGTCAGCAGCTTGATGAAGGTCGACTTTCCGGCACCGTTGCCGCCGATGATGGCGGTTCGGGAGGAGAGTGAGAGCGTGATGGACGCGTCAACTAGAGACGGTTTCTTCGCGCCAGGATACGTGTACGACACGTTGCTCATGCGGAGGATGGCCCGGGTCTGGGACTTGACACCAGTCAAGATGCCAGGAGGCGGGAACTTGAACTGCACGTTCGACGCAGACAGCGTGTAGTACGTCTTGGCTTCGGGCTTGACCTTGACAAACCTAGACACAGTTAGTCTCTGACATCTTACAAATATACATCATGAATACGTACGCTGCGAGATTGCCCTTGTACAAGACCAGTTTCTTGTTCTCGTAGTGATAAATGTCGGTGCAGACCTCGTCCAAAAACCCCGAGTCGTGACTGACGATCAAGCTCGTGATCTCGGTGTGCTTCTTCAGGTACTCCTGCAGCCATTTCACATTGGCCACGTCCAGATGGTTGGTCGGTTCGTCCAGGAGGAGGACGTCCGCCTTCATCAGCATGGCGCGGGCGAGCGCCAGCTTCATCTTCCAACCGCCCGACAGCGAACCGACCTTCTGCTCCTGTCTGCCGTCGGGACCAGCCGTGAAACCAAATTCGCTGAGGACAGCCGAGATCTCGTCTCGGTCAACGGAGGCCAGCTCGGGATCCTTGGCGCAGTAGTCCAGGACCGTGAGATCCGCATTCTCGCCCTGGTTGTGCTCGACGAAGCACGTCTTCACGACCTCCTTCGGAGGAAATCCCTCCAACTTCCCCTCGGCGATACTGCGCATCAGTGTCGACTTGCCCGCGCCGTTGCGACCACACAGGCCGTAGCGGTGGCCTTTTAGGAGACGCAGATTGGTGTGAGACAGGAGCAGCATTCCTCCGTAGGCGAGCGAAAAGTCGGCATTGACGATCTCAACCTCCCCATCTTCCTCCTGAGCCGGCTGGCCAAACTTGCGGTGGTCTTCCTCGATGAAGTACGCCTGAACCTCCGAGGCAACCGCCTCGTGCTGGTCATCCTTCAACAACCCGCGCAGATACGGTCCGACACACGCCGGGATGCGGTCATGCATCCGGACGTTCACATCCTCCCGGACCATCTCTGCAACATAAGTCTTGGTCAGATCAAACAAAGCAGCGTCTCCTGGCTGCGCCAACCCCCCGTGAGCCTGCACCTTGGGCTCCAGGACCTTGAGCACATCCTCCGGAGTGGTGTGAGCCTCATCGGCCTTTCCATCGTCATCACCCATCGCCTTCTTGATGACATCGAGAGCGCGCGTAGCGAGTTCACGGACTTCGGGAAGGGAGGCGCGGTCCTTCACCGCTTGAACACCAGGCTTCAGCTTGGGGAGGAAGGTCCGGGCTTCCGTAGGGTCATGGACCAACTTGGTCAGGTTTTCGACCACGACCACGGTCTGGCGAAGGACCTCCTGCGGCGTGGTAGGCGTGTTGAGGGATCGCTCGAGCAGAGGGGTGAGCAGGGCGAGGACCGGCGAGGTCACGACAGCAACGAATGTCGTTTGGGACAAGGCGAGGATTGCCTTTTGCAGCGTTTCCGCCGAAGGCTTCTCCATCGTCTTGATGAGCAGAGGAATCCGCGGAATGACATCCTCGTTGGTGATCAACGTGGTCAGCGCAGTCATCGCCTTAGTCGCCTGTTTGGCGACCTCGTTCTTCAGGTCGTGCATTCCCGACTCGACGACAGGAATCACTTCTTTCAGGGTCTTGCCCATGGCCTCGCGGAGGAGGTCCTTCACGCGTTCCTCCTCCTTGGTGCCCGTTCCCATCTTCGCCTTGTCGGCCATCTTCTCGATGAGCGCGTAGGCGCCCACCGCACCCTGCCATTTGGCCGTGCCTTTGCTCAGATACCTCAACAGAGCGGGCAGGAGGGCGTTGACCATCGACTCTGGCTTCAGACAGACGAACAGGGCATCGACCGCGTACTGGGCCGCGTCCCGCACCACGGCGCCCTTGTCGGCCAGCGCATCCAATGCAAGATCAAGCACGCCGCCATCCTGGATCAAGAAGACCACCTCACTCAGCGGGTGCTCGCGGGGGAATCGCTCAAACAGCGCGCCCAAGATGAGCATGGAACTCTCCCGTCTCGCTCCGCTCTTCTTGTCGGCGGCGCCTTTCTTGATCTCCGGCAACAGATTGTAGCTCAGGAGGCCGCGCACACCGACGGACTGGATGAGGAGGTTGGTGAGGGCGTAGGAAGCATCGAGCGACTCCTGCGAGGTCTGCGCGGTGAAGATGCTGTTGAGGAGGGACGCGACCTCCTCGTTGGAGGGCGGGACCGAGGACGGCGTCTTGGATACGGCGATTGGCATGGCTGGCGTTTCTGAGGGGGATACCTGGTGAGGCATTCTATCGACAAGAAGATTCAGCAAAACGAACGGATTCTGAGAAGCCGTACAAATGGGTATGATTGCACTGAAAAACAATGGCGGCCTGACGCCAGACGGAGGTCTCTATATGCAGAATATTTACAGAAACAACAGGGAAAAAATCAATCAAAATTAAGATTAAATTAGAAAGAAGGACTCTCCAGGCCCGTCCACTCGACAAGAGTGAAACGAGTATGAAGAGAGAGATTTAATTGAAACAACAAGCAGACGCGGGGTGGATGGATTTTTTCTGTTTTGGCAATTTTATCTTAAGGTAGCGGCAGACACGCCACCGGCACGTGCTGGCCAATCGGAACGCTCCGTCGGCCATGTGCGCTGGCAGGTTGCCCAAACCGGCTTAGCGCGCGATAAGATAAGCAGATAACGTGATAAAGTCATTAAAGAAGTCATGATTTCTCATTCTCTCATCTGTTGATTCTAGTCTTTTTTTTTTCCCTTTCTCGAAAGATGTAGATGTATATGTAATGTACTGTACTGTACAGACATACGCCTCATCTCACGTACCAGATAATGCACCAGCGTTATGCAATCAGGATCACTAAAAGAGAACTAATGACGGGATACTATTTAAAAACCTGCAGAAGAGTGATTAGTATAGGAAGAGAAGGATTGGTAAATATCGAGGAACGGCATTCAACTCACCCTTCTCCGTGTTGCCCTCGCCCATGCTCTTGCTGCTGCTGCTGCCACTCTGGATGGCGCCCAGAATGCCATCCAGGTACGGCGCTCCACTCCATTTCTGATGCGTCAGCACGTCCACGCCCAGCTCCTTCTCACGCGACTGGATGAGCCGCACGTAGGCGAGCATGCCCTCGTCCTTGAAGGCGCGCGAGAGCTCCGTCGTGATGGTGGCGTTGGAGTGGAGACCGGCCAGCGAAATCAGCTGGAGAACAAACCTACATCATGTCATCAGTATTGAATGCAAGGTGTACAACAAACAAACAGCCAACTCACCCATGCTTGGCGAGATCCCAGACAAAGGACTTCAGCGACGCCTCGTCAAAGCCCTGCGCCATCCAGTTGAAGGACGGGCTGAGGTTGTAGACGAACTTCTTCCCCGGATACACCTCCCGCACGTCGCGAGCCAGTTTGGCCGCCTTCTCGACATTGGGGTCGCCCGTCTCCACCCACAGGAGATCCGCATACGGAGCGAACTCCTTGGCGCGCTTGGTCGCTGCGGGGAAGCCAGCGCGGTAATGGTAGAATCCCTCGCGGGTGCGGGGGACATCGCATGACCAGACGACCGGGCTCTTGGTAAACTCCTTCGCCAGTTCGCGACGGCGAGAGAGAGACAGGTTGGGGTTCTCCCGGACCTTGGCTTGATAGGCGTCGCGCACAGCCTGGGAGGCTCCTTCGGCTTGCAGATGCTGGTCGACAGCTGTATCTCGTATTAGCAAATCGTTCTATGGTCGACCATACCAGAAACATACCTTCGTCAAACGTGACGAGCTTGTGGGTTTTCACCCAGTTGCTCTCGTACGCATCGATCTCCGCGGCGCTGGCTCCGTCGCGTTCCATCGCCTGGAGCGTCTCTGCCAGCGGCTCAATGTCTTCCGTGACGCCCAGGATGAACTCGTGGTCCCGGACATCGACGGCGCTGCTGAGCAGCTTCCCGCTCTCCGAGTCGGTGCGCGCAATGACGAGATTCTCCGTCCCCATCAGATCCCACTGGAACCGCGCCGCGACCAGGCGGTTGATATGCTCGCCGACGGGGACGAGCACTTTGCCGGCCAGATGGCCGCATTTCTTGCCCCCGTGGAGCTGGTCTTCGAAATGCACGGCCGCCGCGCCGTTCTCGGCGAACAGCTTGGCCAGCTTCATGACAGCAGACAGCCCTCCGTGTCTGGCCAGAGTTAGCAAAAGCCAACCAGCAGTGTACTGAGTCAACAGACGTACCCCGTGTCTCCGTCTGCAATGATGGGCCGCAAATAGTCGATGTACGGGGTCGACTTGCGCTGCTCGGGACTCAGCTTGCGCCGTGCGTCCCAGTGTTTCCGGTCATGCAGCTGCTGGGCCTTGAATAGCCTCTGGACCTGGTTGGGCACGGTGTTGTACGGATAGTCGCCAAAGTCGGGAGAGACTTCGTTGGTCGTCGTCAGGAGCGACGAGCACGCCCAGCCGGAGACATACAAGACTTCCTGGTTGGGGGCTTGCTGGGTCATCTGGACGGGGTCGATGGCGCCCACTGGTGACGAGCGTTACTTTCTGTCTACAACTGCATCCATGACAGCCCCGGAGAATCTTACTAGTATGGACGGGTTTTCCTTCAGCTGCCCGCTCATTCAGCAAGTTGAACAGCTTCCGCGCCATAATCGAGCTGGGATACGACTGCTGCAGCGACCCGCGCTTGCTGACGATGTCGGCGGCGGTATACGGGCGTTTGATGCCCTCGAAGCGCGGCGTCTTCCACCAGGCCTCGACATCCTTCACCTGCTGTTCAAAGAGCGCATCCTCAGCGTCGCCCGCCTTGTCCTGCGTGGACAGCAGCTGGAAGGAGTCTGATGGGAGAGACGTTGATACGGGGGGCTCGACGGGCGGCAGATGTGACGATGATGACATCCGAGGATAGCCGCACGCGAAGCAGCGCACGGCGGACGACGAGCGCAGGGGGCGAAGGCGTCGAGGCAGGCGACGAGAGAGAGAGCGGATCATCATAGTATACGAACACGAAGAATCAAAGGAATCGAAGGGCAGAAGACTGGACGTTCAGTCGAGGATGAGCATGGTTAGCTGGAACAGTTATCACAGTTGGTGCAGCCAGGCCAGCGGACTGGTCGAATGAAACAAGCCAAACAAGCTCCATTGATCCGGAGGCTTACCTAGACAATAGTGCCCCGTATAAGCACAGACAGAGCCAGTATAACCAGCGATATTCGGACTGCACAGCCGATGTCGCGAATCGGCAGAGCATTCTTCTTCCTCGGTCGTTTCCTCGGCTGTTTTGCTTCCCCGCGGGCAGCGTCGGTCAGGTGGTCGGAGCGCTGTGATTGGCCTGCTGGCTGCCAGGCATCTCGACCTCTCTGCAGCTCTCCTCCTGCCAGCTGGACGTTATTCTTCTCTGTGCTCTTGTTCTCATACTGAACAGCATTGTGCTGGGAAGACACATCTTCCACCGTGTGCACCTATCTTGTTCCTCCTGCTCCTGCTCTGCTCTGCTCCAGCTCCAGCTCCACAGGCACCCCGGATTAGCCCCGCAATTCCCCAGATTACCGCCATGGCCTTGACCTCGCGATCCGCCCGCCGGGCGTTGAAGCTGGCCCAGGTATGTCGCCCTGTATAGACCCTGTCTTTGTCCTGGCCATGCACTGACTGTCCAGAAGACTGCCCGCCCATTGCGGGTCTACGCTCGCTCCTACGCCACCTCTGAGCCCGACCTCAAGACCGCCCTCAAAGAAGTCATCCCCGAGAAGCGCGAGCTGCTCAAGCAGGCCAAGGAGCGCGGCGATGAGGTCATTGGCAACGTGACGGTCTCCAATGTCATTGGGGGCATGCGCGGCCTCAAGGCCATGCTCTGGGAGGGCTCCGTGCTGGACCCCAACGAGGGCATCCGCTTCCACGGCCGCACCATTAAGGACTGCCAGAGGGAGCTCCCCAAGGGCCCGTCCGGCACCGAGATGCTCCCAGAGGCCATGTTCTGGCTGCTGCTGACCGGCAAGGTGCCCTCGACCGCCCAGGTGCGCGCCTTCTCGCGCGAACTGGCCGAAAAGTCGCATCTGCCCGAGCACATCCTCAACCTGATCAAGTCGTTCCCCAAGGACATGCATCCCATGACGCAGCTGTCGGTCGCCGTGGCGGCGCTCAACACTGAGTCGGTGTTCGCCAAGGCCTACGAGAAGGGCCTCAACAAGGCCGACTACTGGGAGCCGACGTTCGACGACAGCATCTCCCTGCTCGCCAAGATTCCTCGTGTGGCGGCCCTGGTCTTCCGTCCGGACGAGATCGACACCGTGGGCCGACAGCCCCTGGATCCCAACCAGGACTGGTCGTACAACTTTGCAGTGCTGCTGGGCAAGGGCGGCAAGGAGAACGAGGACTTCCACGATCTGCTGCGGCTGTACCTGGCGCTGCACGGCGACCACGAGGGCGGCAACGTGTCGGCGCACACGACGCATCTGGTCGGCAGCGCGCTCAGCGACCCGTTCCTGAGCTACAGCGCCGGTCTGCTGGGTCTGGCCGGTCCTCTGCACGGTCTGGCGGCGCAGGAAGTGCTGCGCTGGATCCTGGCCATGCAGGCCGAGATTGGCCCCAACTTCACCGACAAGGACGTGGAGAACTATCTGTGGAACACGCTGAAGTCCGGGCGCGTTGTGCCTGGCTACGGCCACGGCGTCCTGCGCAAGCCGGATCCTCGATTCCAGGCCCTGATGGACTTTGCCGCCACGCGGCCCGACGTCCTCGCGAACCCGGTCTTCCAGCTCGTGAAGAAGAACTCGGAGATTGCCCCGCGCGTGCTGACGGAGCACGGCAAGGTAGGTTCTTTCGATTGCAGCGAAGACAATAGCAAGGCTAACTCGTGCTCCAGACCAAGAACCCGCACCCCAACGTCGACGCCGCCTCCGGCGTGCTGTTCTACCACTACGGCTTCCAGCAGCCGCTCTACTACACCGTCACCTTTGGCGTCAGCCGCGCGCTGGGGCCGCTGGTGCAGCTGATCTGGGACCGTGCGCTGGGGCTGCCGATTGAGCGGCCTAAGAGTATTAACCTGTTGGGGTTGTTGGAGAAGAAATAACAGCGTCACAGCGTGGTATGAGTGATGGTCCGCATAATGCTCGAGTCGACCTCTATGAATAAGCTTGCGGTGTCAATGATACGATATTGCTGTTGAGTCTTTGAAATTTTTTTTCCCCTTTTTCTTGTTTTCTTCTAGCTATGCTTGTCCGTTAGTCGCGAGTTCTGATAGACTTGAATAGATGAGAATGAAATTGATTCTGTTTCTATCTCTGACTGATCTTGGTATCATGAGTGCAATTCATATTATGTACGTATGTACGCATCTCTGTATGTACAGTACAACCACGCCCATGCCAACGTACGGTATGTCATACCTTTTCCCCTGCACTGAACCCATTCAGCTCGCTCCGCTCGCAGACTAAAGCCTCGCCCTCTCAGCAACGAGATCCTCCCACTCGCGCTGCCCAAACTCCACATACGACTCCGCCCCCGGCGGCAGATACAGCAGACGATCATTCTCCCCTCCAGCAGCTTTCGTGCCACGCTTACTCGGGTCCACGCCCTCCTCACGCAGCGGCACCTTGTTCTGCTTGTTGTTGTGTATGTGGCTGGAGGCGCGGACGATGCGCAGGAAGACTGGCACCGCGTAGCGCGGGAGTTTGGAGCGGACGTAGCGTGTGAAGGCCGCGAAGTCGAAGGTCTTCTCGTCATCGCCGTCCTTCGTGCTGCTGAGCTGGATAGCAGCGCAGCCCGCGCGGCCTTCGTGGTTGGGCACTTTCACGCCGTACACGTTCGCCTCTGCGATGCCCGGATACCTGCCCAGCACCTCGGCCACCTCCGCCGTCGACACATTCTCGCTCTTCCACCGGAAGGTATCGCCCAGCCGGTCGAGGAAGAACCACCGCCCGTCCGATGTCCGGCGCAGCGCGTCCCCCGTGCGGTAGAACAGGTCCCCCTTGCGGAAGACGTCGCGCACAAACTTCTTGTCCGTCGCCTGCGCGTTGCGCCAGTACCCCTGGAAGGCATCCGTGCTGGGCACCGCGACGAGGATCTCGCCTCCTTTCTCGTAGGGCTCGCGGATGGCGAACCCCGTCTTCGCGTCGCGCCGGATGTCGCCCGTCTCCGGGTCGATGGCGACGGGCACGTACGTATTGCGGAACAGCGTGCGCAGGAGCAAGCCATGATGGCCCACGGCGCCCGTCAGGTAGGGCCCCCGGTCGTGGTTCGTCAGCGCGAACATGCCCTCTGTGCTGTTGAAGAACTCGGCCACTTCCTGCACGCCGAACCGCTCGCGGAACCGGTCCCAG